ATTCTGATACTACAAACACATTAGAGCCTTAATCACAGTGATTCGGTAGCAGCAGGTTGTGCAGGAGGCCGCTGGAAAGCTGATGGATTTGATTGGCCAATCATTTCTCTGGCACTTGAGAATATCGTAAATCATGGCCATCCATCTGCTTCGGCGGGACCTCATGTGAGCTGCAGAAACTGGCAATCAGCGCAGTTGCTTCAACTCTTGGACAGTTTTCAAAGTGGCAGCGTCTGGCTTTGAACATTATATACTGCTTTATCGTGTTGATATCACTAAACCCACCCCCTTTACTACAGTCACTTTGTGGTAAAAGAATTGTTCTTTGATGACACATTTGGCTATGTTTAGAGAAACTATTCCTTCACAAAATAGTTGAAAGAAAATGAAAGGCCATCTTGTATGAGATGCTGTGGTAATGATGGGAAAACTGGTTCCTATGGTTACACCTTTGGAGCTGTATGTCGTTGAACAACCTTTTAACAATTACAATTGGTCGTTTGAGGGTTAAAAATACTGGAGATTAGAAAATAACATCACATTTATTAAAGCTGTGTTTACTTACATTTAAAAACAGACTCTAAGTATTATTAACCACAAGTCTGATATTTGAAAGTTTCTAACTTGAATGTTCCAATAACTATGACAACTAATAATGACAAACATGGCTACACAGCTGACCGCTCAGACTGATATGTTAAAATAACTTTTCCAGTAAACCTGCACTTTGCATACAGATTTTTTTGGTCTCTTTAGGGCCCTGTTGTCTCCTATTCCTTTGAAAACTTGAATATTAAAATGGAAAAGCACTTGACTGATTTTTTTTAATAGCTTCAGACCTGATATGTCTGGTTGATTAATCAACTGTTTGATTAACAGAACATTTATAAGCCACTGTTTTGATAATAAACTAATCATTTTTGTTATTTTCTTTTAGGACCTCTTTTGAACAAAAACATGTTTGTGTTCCACCGTCTCTCTCTCATTTCTCTGTTTGATAAGAACTTTCAGTTTTGTGGACCAAGAATGTAAGTTACATTTATTATCATAAGCTCTGAGAAACTATAACGCATATGTTTCCTTTTTATTCTATGGGGAAAAAAAGGCTGAGAACTAACTGAGAAAAATATCTACAGATTAATTCATCACACAAAATCACAGATGCAGCCCTATAACTTACATGACCCACCTTTGCAGCTATGTTTAGAAATAGTGTGCATTGCCATCAGCGCTTATATTGTTTTTGCCTCCATAGGTGTCATTTTACAGCATTGCAGACAAAATGAGGTCTCTCCGAGGACCAGAGCCCCTTCAGCATAAGGCCATAAAAATAAGCAATGCTCCCAGATTGAGGAACAAAATACAAAGCGACTATGATGTGCTGCAAGAACAATTGATTTCACTTTCTTCAAAATAGCAGTTTGGCTTGGTGCCTGCTTTCAGCATGGGTGGTCTGCCAAGCTGAACAGACCAGCAGAACCGGTCCCGTAGAGATGCGGAGGACAGGTCCGGGGTTGTGCACTGCAGCACTGGAGCCTGAAACGCTGCAAAACTGCAGCAGCTTGAATTTTAGAGCACCACCAGATGTTTGGCTGGCGATCAGCGGCGGCCCACCGAGCGGTGAGTCGCTGCTTTGTGTCTTTATGAGGACTGTAATACTTTAATTCCTTCCCAAACAGTGTGGGAGGCATCGCACAGCTCGCTGGCACTGTGCTAAAGAGAGACACGGCTACAGCTAAGCCTCCTGACCTCACCGAGTGGAAAATCAACTCACACCAAATCAGCGGGCAATCCTCAGCCCACACTCTGATAAAGCTTTCAGAGCTACTTTCATATATATGTATTTACAACACTGACCGTTCTTTCATTTCACACACACAAAAAAAGAAGCAAATTATTCGCCTGCACACCACCTTTTTGTCACAACTTGTTTTTCTCAGCAGCTCCATGGAGGACACCTGCTGAATAAATGAACCAATGAATGAACAATTGCCGAGCAGATGAGAGATAATGCGTTTTTGGGTTTGGATACACATATACATTCATATATTTACGACCATACACTGTAATCCTCCCACAGTGACGAGCTCACTGATGGAGGCAGCATCATCTTTATGAAACAATTTACCCCCCGGCTAAATTCAGCAGCTTGCTTTCCTGTTATTGTATAACTCGCTTTCTCTCTGCCCAGTGTGTCGCCTGACAGGTATTCCGGTGGGATTCTTACAAGCAATTGGGTATCAAGAAATGAGATGCATTTCTGAGTCATCATCTAAAAGAAAAGAAGCTGTTCAATTAAACAAAGTACCAAAAAAAAAAAAAAAAGGAAGTTGCGAAAGCCCTAAAGAACCACAAGCATCCTGCCAGGTGATCAGTATAAAAGTAGAGCAGCTGCTTTGACAGAACGAACAAATTCTTTGGATGTTTGAGCTTTCATATTATCCAGACTGTTCTGTCTTTGCCAAGCTGGATGTGTTATGAAATATTCCTCTCAGGCCGACGCTGTGGTTATTTATATAGAGAGATATCTTTTAAGTAGGTCAACAATTGGATACGAGCGCATTCATTTTTGATTTGGTCTGACACGAGCCGATGTGATTCAGCTTGAATTCGTGCCATGCGAAGCTGCTCAGCATTTGTTTGGTGCCCTTATTTTGACTCTGATGGGAGCTCGTGTGGAAGTGAATGAAAACAATCGAGACGAAAACCATCCATAAAAACTTTCATCAGCAGCTCATACGGACGGGGAGCATGTGCAAATTGACTGACTGTCTTATCAGCTGTACATTTTTTACGGCGTTCCAGCTTTGCAACGTAAATTTACTTGACCTACATTTTATATTCTTTCGGCACGCAAAAAAAGGAACCTTTGAGTCACTGCTGGAAATACGAAAATCTTTCATCTCATCCTGCCAATACTACAGAGAGCAGGGGAACTTATAAATGCACCGCATATATGCATAAAATCATCATCTGTAGTCTTGCACATCATATTCTTATTCAAGCAGCTTCCAGGGAGAGTGGTTTCAGGACGACGGTGTGTTACATGCGTATAACAATTCAACGTTAAAGCTTTTCTTTTCGGTTTGAGTCCTTGACAGTATCTGTCAAGAGTTTATTGTACTAAGTCATTTTCTGCGTATTTCAAATTGGCCCACCGATTCAAACCAGCCACCTTTACTTTCTCAATCTGGCTCCTTCTCTTTAGCTGCTGAGGCTCCCAGCAGACTCGTCCATTCAGAGAACAATTAATACCGATTTAAAACCTGCCAGTCAGTTGTGTTTCCCTTCAGGAAGGAGTGAGAAACACCAGCTGGCAGACAGACTGCTAATTATTAATTAAAGCTGTCAAACTTAAGAGCCTCGCTCGTACTTTATGTCCATCATGGCATCATACAAACATTAGTCAGAATAATGGCAGTCTGGGTCGGACAATGCATTGTGTTCGCTATCTGCTAAGCAATGAAATCCACTTGTGTGTTTGTAGAAGGCAATAAAGGGGGAAAAGATGCGATGAATACATCCATACACCTGACACTGCTCTCCCCACAGGGACTCTGCACAACGCTGTGGGTCTATTAGTGTAATAGTTCAACAACTTGGTAAAAGACACCTGCCCACTTTTCTTTCTCTAGAGCTGGATGAGACAAACCACTCTCTCCCTGTCTCTCCCCCCGTCTTCTAGCTTTAAACTGGACTACGATAGACAGCTGGCCCTATTTAATGGACAGGCATGCAAGTGTTATCAATCTTCTCGTCTGACTCTTGACAGGAAAAAACACATTTCCTGCAATGTCAAAGTCTTCCGAGCAAAGTCCTGAACGACATAATTTCAGGCTTCATTTTCACAAGCTTCCAAAGGTCATCGATCCGGAGGCGATCACTCTGACAGGTGCAAATTTATCACATGGGACAACCACATGAGCACAATCTGTGGATTATTATCTCATTCTAAAATTATTACCCAACCTGACAGCTGTAAACATTTGATTTCGGGTGCTTTCGTGGCGCCATATCGACAGACTTTGTACTTGCTGAAGTTGCCCTTGCATAAGAATACATCCTGTTATGAAGCTGTGTGGTGCTTGGATCGCTCATTTAACAGGTGAGCTAAATGTGATTGTATTCAAGACTGGCAGCCAAAACTGCAAGGTGTAAAAAAACACAACGTTTTTCTTTTAGACTTGGTTGATTTTGCAGTCATTTTTCAGCTCTACAAAGCAAAAATGTGAGTCATGATTCAGTGTCTTAAATGTGCATAAATACAATATACTGAATGACTCAATCCACCAACTGAATGCAGCAATGTCCACAGGATACATATGAGAAATTTGCCATGTGTCATCAAATTGAAATAGTTTTCCTCATTTGTGAATTTAATCCAATAAACTGAAGTCATAAATGATCAGTGAGTCAGTATTTGCAAAGCAGCCAGTGTTTGTCTTCCCCCTTTAGTCACAAAGCGGCGCGTTGTCTGAGAAAACAGTATTTATGTTTAACCATAACTGTTTCTCTGAAAATGATAGCTATATCCGCCACTTGGGTGCAATAACCTCCATTTTTCCCACGTTTTAAGAGCGAGTGGCTCGTGGATCAAACATTATTGCCAGAGCTGTCCCACGGTGACGGAATGACCCTGACATCTATTAGCACAAGTAAAGGGTTTATCCTCTAAGAGGCTCATGAGAACAAGGACTGAAACGTGGCGCCACATTCGATGCAGGCTGCAGGTTCTCTTGTGGGAGCAACAGGGAGGAGTGACAAGGGGAGAAAATAGAAGAAAGACACAGAGGCACGGAGGTCGAGGCTGTGATTGGGGCGACGTGATGCGAAAGAGGCAGGTTATCTATCAGCTGCTCTCACGCTGCTGCATGTCTATCTCTGAATTCATCCACAGCTCGCCCTCTTTGTCTTTATATTCGCTCCCTTTTACCGCGTGACGGAGCCGAGCCGTGCATCATTCAGATGTTTTTTTTTCATTTGTATGTGCTTCTGCTCACCTTTGAGATATTGCTGGACCTGCTTGCCGAATGACCCAGAGGCTTTTCATTCTGCAAAAGATGGAAAGAAAAAGCTCCAGTGAGTGACAAATATATTCAGTCTCTGTATTCAATGTCAAACATGCACATGCATTCAACAAAATGACATATCACCATTATTTCTATCTGAACTGGGCTCCATTTGTAATGAATAGTGTGCGATATAAACATCAGACCTACATTTAACACGTTCACATCCAGCAGACGCAATATTCACCAGCTTAGCTTATTCCAGCTGCACTAAACACACCCGGAATCTTATTGGCTTTACATGTATTTGTCATAAATCAAAAAGTCAGAGAAGCCCCACATTTATTGCAATTAATCCTGAGTGGGACATTAAAATCTGCACCAAATTTCACAGCAATCCACTGAATCGTTGTTCACCAAAAAGCAGAAGTGTCCACCATGCAGCAGATACGATAATATGGATGAAGACACATGAATAGGGAAGCAGTAAATAGGACTGATTCATGGTTTGACTCTGCGTAATGAGCACAGCAACTTTTTCTCAGCAGCTCAGGGACCTGTGAGGGAGCCTGCGGTAAATCTAGTTCTTCTGGCACGAGACGAAAGGAGGACGAGCTGATTACATAACGCGTCCGTCCAAACTGCAAATCAAATGAAGTCACAATATTTGTATCATTACCCGGGAACGAAACGGGCCAAGACCTCCAGCGTACAGCGCAGTCAAGTTTTGTTTTGAGGCGCTAATCACCCTCAATTCCCGCTCTGTGTTCTCTGCTTGCATCAGAGACTCGGATAAACAGCCACTGGGGTGTTGTGTTGAATTTCGGTGTCGGAATTAAAGCCGTGAACGGTTCCTTAATTAGTTATCAATCATAGTTACGTAACGCAGAGTTCGCACTGGGTCTGACAGGGCTGTTTGTGCCATGGACATGAACACAGATGCAAATAGAGATCAGCTTTATGAACACATGAAAATGATTAAAGGGTAAAGAAGAGATGTTTTAGACTCGATTGAATTCCACATGACAGCTCACAAATGGCAGCTTTAATGTAAGCCCAGAGACTCAACCGGTGCTGCTGTGCTGGGTTACCTAAATCAATATTTCAAATATCAATTATACATAAGTTGTATCTGATATTTGAACAGTATCTCCTTTATAGTATTTCTTTCTGTGATTAATTCCAGTCTGAGATACAATTGAGAAGAAGACAGAGGCTACAGCTCACGATGACAATGTGAACATGCTGATGTTAATCTCACTAATAAATGAAGGAATCCTCTATATGTCTGCATGCTCTTTGCGTTCTCATCAAAGCTTTTTATCTGCTCTCCTTCACATCTCTTGGACGTATTGCTGGGGCAGTGCAGTTTCATGTTTCAAATAAATGAGCGGCAGCCATTTCTGCAGGCTAGAAGTTGCTTTCTGTGGGTATTTGGCGGCTTCATTTTGGAAACCGACATTAACCGCAAAGTTCGATTGAGCACGATGGGAATGTAATTGGTTTTAAAGTTATGTGGTCTGAACAAATTGGGTAAACTGACATTTTCACCCGATGATGGAGCTACAAAATAAGGTTAAGAGATCACAGACTTCCTCCTGATGGGAACATGAGTGTTCATACCTTAAATTTGACAATCAAACCAACAGTTGACAAGACATGGATTCACTAAAATCAGTGGATTTATCCTCTGGGTACCATGAATGTCTGCAGTAACTGAATGGGACTTCATCCAGTAGTTGTTGAGATATCTTAGTTGAGATCAAATTGGTGGAGCAATAACAAGAGCCTGGTCTCAAGATGACTGAAAACAATTTAGAAATTTAAGTGGATTTTTCGGGCTGCAAGGTGGGTCGGAGGTTAGCATCGTCACCTCGCAGCTACAAGATGATAGACTGGTGACCTGTCCAGTGTGTCCCCTGCCTTCACCTTAAGTCAGCTGGGATAGACTCCAGCCCCCCGCGAGCCTAGTGAGGATTAAGCGGTGTATAGATAATGGATGGATGGAGTGGATTTTTCACTTGTTTTAGGAATTCAGTACTTTAGGACTCAAAACAGACAGAAATGGACAACAAGGAGATTATTACAGTAAACCTGTGACTTCTGCGGCCCCTGTGGGCGTCTCTGTAGATGCTGCTTATTTTTCATTGCTGGAAATTCAGAAAGACATTGAGAACATACACTCTCTCCCTCCCACCCACACACACACACACGCATTGACAGGTAGGATTTGTTTCTGTAGACATCTCAACCCTGACAACTTTCCTGATGTCGTGGCAGCAGCCGAGGTGTCACCTTCACTATCTCTGCCCAAAACGGATTAACTTTGCCACAGAAACTCACGAACTACGAGTCTACACACACCCACGCATAAATCATGCCACTAACAGGCTCCTCGACATCCTACCAGTTATAATTACTTCAGCGCCTCACATGTGTTCTTACTGTGACTAGTTGCCATGGTGATAGATGACTACTGTATGAGCCCAGCTTCTCCATCACTCTCTGCTTCTCGCTGCTTCCTCCTAACTCCGTTCTTATTTTCCTCTCATCTAACTAGACGCCTGAGGACATTTAAACTCAGCACACACACGCGCACACACACACACACACACACACGCACACACACAAACACACAACCAAACCCTCCGAGCCATGTTGATCAGATGAAAACTTGGATCTGGTTTCTCGGATGTGATCTGTGTCAGAAGAAATCGCGCAACGCACTCACACCCGAGCATGATACAAATTCGTGACCTTCAAAGTAATGACACGCCCTCGTTGTTATTAATTTTGCGGTCACTGCAGAGACAACAGTTCAACCACATCTGTCATCTTGTGTGTCGCCACTAATCCTGTAACAGTCCAAGAACAATAGCGAATGTTTACATCAACTGAGAAGAGCTGACACCTTCGAAGTCTAACAGTCTATACGCATTTTTCTCTAGCTTTGATTGACTGAAATGTCAGCATCAAGTTTGAAGCCATTATCTCCAATCTCAAACTGTTTTCATCTTAAACCTGCCGGCCTCCTCTATCATGCCCTTCGTCAACTTAGTGCCTCAGATTTACGTACTTATTGTCACGAGGACAGAAAGAGAATAGAAAAGAAAAAAAAAACAAATTTGTTTTTAAACTGAGCTAAGAGGCAACATCTCAATCTCTTGCTACACTAGTGGATTAAAACGAAGCAGTCCCGCTCCATTTCCATGTCGTTACATCTTCAATGTGTTCGATACAATGCCACACAATGGTACAGAGCTCAGTGGGTGCGATTTGTTCAGCAAATCAATTGTCAAGACAGCTGAAGAGCATAAAAAATTCAGTTTTTCTGGAGGACGACAGCCGGGGATAAAAAAAGCACAGAAACAGAGTAGAAGGAAGCGATGATCCTTGCCCTTAATCCGTCCCTTCTTGGTCAAAAATGGAGTAACAAGCAGATATCCCGGACCGAGGGTTTCTGGAGATAACAAGGCCACAAATGGACTTTTATAGACAGCAGTGATTAGAGCGGAGAAACTAAACATGAGAGGGTGAAATACATCTCCATTTGTCCTCGCTTTCAAACACGATTTCATTTTACAACCGTCTCTACCCCAAACTGTGTTACCTACAGTACAAGGTCTGGGAGTCACCTTCACCGCCACCACGACTGTAGACTATAAAGGACCTTATTCTCTGGGCTCATGCATAATTCTGATAAAGAAGGGCTCAGGTTTCACAGTCTGCTGTGTCTGTCTTTCTCCACCTCCTCTGTGGGTCTGTTAGCAGCCCCAGCCTTTGATAACACAACTTTCAGACTGGACTCTGAAGACTCGAGCTTGTAAGGAAAGAAGCTTAGGAAAGTACAGCAGAGGAGAAGAGGTCATATTCAGAGGGATTGCTGTGTTTTTCCGGGCTCTGTTCTTGGCCCACAGGGACGAGGGCTCAGCTCGCTTTTATGCAAGAATCTCAGAAAAAGATAAAACCTTTGCGAATTTAACCCTGACTCTTTGAAATGTGCCCATTCTTCACAAAGTTCCTTTCCCTCTATAGAACTTCCTTCAATAATAAATGTGATATTTGATGAAGATATCACATTGAAGATTTCATGGACAGATGCTAGAGCTGCAAAAAATTCATTTTTAATCAAGATAATCAGTTGGCGACAATTTTTAAAATTATTTGAATTGTGAGTAAAGCAAAATACGACAATTTTTCTGGTTTTGGTTAGTTAAATATGAGGATTTGCTGCTTTTCTCTATTTAATATCACTGCACACTGAATATCTTTTGATTTTGAACTGTTTGGACAAATCAAGACCTTTGACAATGCTACCTTAGGAATTGTGATGGGCATTTCTAAACTAAACACTGAATAATTAATCAAAATGACACAGGCAAAGTTACAGAGAGCTGTAAAAGGGCTATTAGAGGAGGCAGACAAAGCCAGCTACTGGCTATGGCTTCGGAGAAAGAATAGCATTTGGGGATTCACCCGCCCATAAACACAGCTGCAAGGGTTTTGCAGGGAATCATCCCCCATTGTGCTACTGCCAGATTCCAGCTGATGACCCTGCAGCTGACCTGAGGACATTGGTGGAAATGCGACCTGAACCTCCTAAGCACGAGTACCTAATCGTACCTGTGGACCAGACAGAAAATGCAGACGTATAAACAGAAAACAATTGTTAGTTGCACCCTTAAAACATTTACATCTTTTGTCATTGTGTGAATGTGAGGGCATTTTTAGGGCTGCAAGTAATTATTATTCTCATTGCCAACTAATGTGACTAATGTGAATAACTGCTGACTCATGGAGACTATAAAATGTCAGAAAACTGTGAAAAATATCCATTCCATTGTCTCACAGTCCACAGAGTTGACTTTAAATGTCTTGTTTTGTCTGAACTCTGGTATAAAGAATGTGAATTTGTGTGGAATAAAATAATAAAACATATATTAATTAAATGCGGCTGTAAAACTGATGATAAAAAAAACAGTCAAAGCAGCCATAAAGTTAGAAACCTGCATAAACCAGCCAAAAGTAAACGAGTCAACTTT